TTGTTTAGATAATAGATTGTGGTGTTGGTTTCTGATCTGATGAAGTCGCCACATAATAAAGGGAATCAAGAATGGTGCGACAGCTGGTTCGCTGTAATGTCTGAACATTCGTTTGCCAAGCTGACGCCAGTACACACATTGGATGCCTTTACAAAAGTATTGATGCGCACGCAACTTCGACACAATAACTGAATTCGAGCGTGTTCGAAATCCGGTTATTTGACTCTTGTTTAAAAAAAACCTCCACTCAAGATACCAAAACATTTTAAGTGTTCACATAATGTAATCATATTCTAGATGAAGTTCAAATGGTGGTTTTAAGAGTAATTGAAGTATATGGATATCATATCTCTTGACCGTTATAGATTCTTTTATCAAATGTCAATCGTCTTTGCAGTGGTATACGTATGCATTGTGAACACAATATGTTACTTTTTACCTGAAGACACATCTGATAAGAGAGCAAACAGCGACTGATGATGGTTTGGCATTTAATTTCGTTTAAGTCAGTTGTTTATAAATATCACTTTTTATCATAAACTAATCAAATGTATCAATTATGCCACGAAGTTGATGCAGTTTGGTAATATTTCTGTAAACGATACCACTGCATTATTTGGAAAGTGTTTTAGAATATGGTTCTTTTTCCAAACTACAAAAGGTTTTCTTTGCCGACTAGAAGATTTATATTTTTTCAATCTACAAAGGATCGTGCACAGCAGATAGTCAGGACAACCCCGTGGTTGGTTTCACCATTGCCAAGACCAACGCAACAAATTTGTAATTTTGATGGGCAATATTATTTTTAAGAAAACCTTCATTTGTCATTAAAACCTCTTACAGTTGGTGATTTAACGGTAATTAGATTGTGGGGATTAGACATACAGGCAGGGAGTAGGTATCCCCACTGGCAGCAACTCCTCCCCTTTCTTTATGTTTCTCATTCCATAAGAATAGGAATTTCTGCTCGGCAGGCAAACTCAAAACAAGGGCATTTTTCCAAACAGTTGAACTTAATCTTCAGGTATCACTCTGATTTCGATTAACAATGACTAAATACCATTCAAATTGTTTGGCAAGGGCGAAACTGCCCAAAAGCCAGCATTGTCTTTATAAACAACATACCAGCAGCTCCAGCCTTTGGTGTGGACATTTAAAAATGTGTTGGCTACAATGTAGTTTGCTCTTTGTAGTAAATTTCACAGTACGTCATACGACGTTATTTGAACGATCTTACAACATTAACGACAGCATTAGGAGTTGTAGGGCAGATATATAAATGATGGTTCAAACTGTGGTACGTCAGTGACCAATGCTGTGTTAGATTCACTACCCTATTTTGTTTACGTTGGCGTTTTCGGTGAATAATTGACTGGCCTTTGCATGTGTTTGTGACGGATGTCATAGGTGGCTCAGGATACGCTCACCATTTGGCGAACACCTTGTATCAACATTATTTGATAGTGATTCATAAACACATGATCATGATTTATTCGGAATCGCACAACGCACTCTCCTTTTGGCAGAGATTTCTTATCATCAAGGAAAGGTTCCTTGTCGCATACAATCACAATAACATACAGGACATTGGTTTATATTATAAGTCATTTTAGTTCTGGGTCCAACAAAATTAATGAATCTCTAATTTCAGTAAAATGAGTATTTTCTGTTTTAGCTCATCCAAAGTAAGAACTGGTTTGCATTTCTGGTGGGGTTTTTTCCGTTCTTTTTACGTTTTTGTATATTTTGTTGTGGATATTTGGGTTAGGGGATTAAAAACTTTTATCCCTTTAGAAAAGGTATATGTTTGTAAGTTCCTCTTTCATATAACGAAACTGATATATCTACGGTGAAGCGACCTACATTTACAACAGTGGTGTAAACAACGGACAATACAGAGTATTGTATGAAGTTTCAGGGAAACTCGAGGGTACAGAAGCAAAGTCTTAGGGTGTGTGGCTCCTGATTAGGGACAGTGAACACAAACATCATTTGTGTAAATGTACTGAAATCATCACAGTAAAATTGTATAATAACTATGAAAATATGAATCATTTTCCCATTTTCAAACACATTCGTCTAATATGATACACGGCAACTTCGAGACACAGGGTACACAATGTCTTTGAGAGGCATTAAGAAATTGGAGCAGTAAGAAAGAATAACAGTGTATGGATGAATGAACATCTTCTTTATTACAGTGAGAGTGTAGATTCTAACATCGTTATTAATCAAAATGAATTAATGGCCATCTCTCACTGTAATAAAACAGTTGTTCATACATTGGTGTCCTTACTCACATGGCATCAAAGGTTATCGTAAAGTTAAGGGTTCGAAATATATACTACTTTGTATTTTAATCTCGAATTCGGGATCAGCGTTTTAATGTATATAATGAGTCAGAACCGACTAACAGGTTCGAGATGACGGATCTTTAAATAACGTGGTCATACAGTGTATTCGAGTTTCTTGCTATTTATTCTGTATACAAAATACACAGTATGTTTATAGTAACGATGTACATATAGGTAGTCAGCTGTGTTTTCATCGATCGTCAACAGGAAAACAGCATTAATATTGTAAACTCGTGCAGTATCGCAACTGTCCTGATATCTGGACCAATAATTTCTCAGTGCTTATAATAATTTATACAACATTTGATCTCCTCTGCTATTTGATATCTGAGACTGGTTTGAATTCAAATGCATCGAGAAACATATCAGAATCGTGGTTGATAAAATCACCAAGACGCGTCTTAATGCCAGGAACAACAAAGCGCATACTCTCCCGGGTGTCGGGGGGAGGAGGGGGGACGATCAGTTTGACCTTTGAATATACAAGTGTATTTCTATAGTGTGACCGTCAACCGTTGTAAGTATTTACAGTATAGATCTCTTTCGGAATTATATATACCGTAAACAATCACGCCTCATGTTATATATATTCGATCGTATTAGTTATTCCATTCAGTTTTGAACAGAACAGAACAGAATTTATTAAATTCAGTATTTTCTACTTTGGCTTAAAGTACAATTGTAATTGATGTTGCTGGGTTTTTAACAGGTCACATGACACTACGGCTTTTAGAATTCACGCAAAGCAAACACGTATCAAGTAAATAGCAACATTTCTCATGACGTCAATATTATATTCAGTCCTTATTGACATGTATATTTAATAGATTCATAATACCGACAATGGAAATAAACTTACTACGTATACCGCTAGTCTGTCATACAAACCCTGAAATAAATATATCCAAGAAAGCCCATGCAAGTCTAGAATATGTGGCAAGTCCCCTTTTCATTATATTTTATTATCATTTTTTTATAAACAGTTTTCTGTGTGTAAAATATGTTGACTTCAGAGACTAGATGTTAGTCTACGTATACTGCTTGCTTTCGTTCATTTTCTGAGTGTGAAAAGCCGTGTGAATTTGATTAAATATATTACAAACATCAACAACAGAGAATAACCGATCGCGATGATCTCGGCGATATCCGGCTTCAAGATGCACTCTCAAGGCTCATTCGGATATACCCCGCTTTAAACTGACACACTTTAGAACACGCCCTGCGTTATATGTCGATCAAGATGGGGTTGAACCATTGTACTGAATGGTTTGGATATTGTCGAGTGTTGCAATGCTGAAAATAACACAGTTACCTAGCCCTTAGTGATATGTACTTCCTATATATTACGTAATCGGTTTTGTTAAATCCATGGATGCTTTAATACCCCGTAACTGTTGATATCATTCAGGTCAAAGACATATATCTACCTGCTCTTACACATACAGTCTAAAACTGTAGCAAAACAAATATACATATTTTGGCGCAAAGGTACAATAGGCATGAACAAAAATCGTATATGTATATATACAGATAAATATATTTAAAGCACATATACTTAAACATGGCAAACTATATAAGACTTACGTACTTTCATTTACTCCTTCTTTCTGCATGACATCAAATATATTTGTATGTGGTAATCCCAGGTAGTCAACCAGTGTCAGTACTGACTGATCTGAATCAACCAACAAGTAGGTGTGCTCCCTTTTCTGAAGGACTCTTAAAGTCATTCTGCAGTAAGCCTGACTTTCTTTTTATATAAACCAATTTAAAATAATTTATACAACCCCTTAAACAGTGCAGTATCTTACAGGGTAATTTATTTATGAAATTTATACACCTACGTATTTTGCTGTTTGTCATATAAAATTTGATCATTGTAAGAATATGTGGGCGTATTTACATAATTTATGATTGAACTTAAATTAGTGGGATGTCAATTCAGTACGTTATATAGACAACCTTTGTAGTTTGAACACCACTGACCATACACTCGATGTAACAATGGTAACATACGAAATACATGCGTATCTACATATGAAATAATCTACACCGCTGTAGACGTTTAATCTTCATTGTAGCAAGTCAAAATTCCTCATATTACCAATATGAGAGTAGATTATAAAAGTTAACCTTACATTTACGTTGGTTGATACAATGAGGGATTAACACGCTGATTGTCTTTAATGTAACAATTATAGGGTAAGATATAAGATATCTTATATTTGATATATAAGATAAAACCAAATAGAAATTAAACAACATATATCTTTAGGATTGTGCTTTATGAAATACTGGTTTGGTGTTTTTAGTTTGGAGAACCTATTTGCTTAGAAAGGTGCATTTTAATAAAATATTCACATTATTTCATATGTCACCATTGCATGATTGTGTGACAATACGGGATTAATATATAAATATATATTTATATCCCAAATTGGACATTACAGTATACAAAGCAATGTAACAGATCAATAAATTATTGTATATCAGTATGACAGTGAATTAATATTTACTAAATACCTACATACATGAAACAAATAGTTTGTTTATAAACACAGGCTAAAAATACATATTAAAAATCACAAACAAGACACACACACATGCATAATCTGAACGCTGTACAAAATCAGTCATTTTGCTTACCTTTCCAGGAAATTGTCTTCAATAAACTTCAATAGTTGTAGGCTTGTGTTGCCCGGGCCTTCTATCGCAGTGGCAAAAAATACGCTTCAAACTATCTCCAAGACTGGTGTTCAAATTGCGTTTTGTTTTTGTCATTAAATGAACATTAAATATTTGAATGAAAGTTGCTCTGACTTGAACTGCCCATGACAGAATTTTCATAAATGAAAGACAATATCAGCGTGCAAACAGTTGGCGTTGTAGAGACGTGACCGATCGGAACTCCCAGTCATATATATATAAATATCACAGCCGCCAGATCGGTTGAGAATCAGCGTAAACAGGAGCACCGAAAGGAGACACAGCTCATATCCGATCAGTAAAACCGAACCTTTTTCGTGAAAGATGAATTCACAATAGCATTAGTTTTAGTAAAGGTGTGTACAGTAAATACATAGATAATATTCGGTCTCTGGTTGTATCACGACGAAAAGGATGTATCGGATTTAAGACCTGTTCTCCCTTAGAAACCAGTTCGTCCTCGCCTGACCTCAGAATCACTAACTATGCCGGCTTAGTGCAGAGGGGTTCTCAACTCATAAATCGGCATATTCGGATTAATTCATCATTCTGAGGGGGTTGAAAACATTTTGCGTGGTGGAAATGAATAAAGGAGTGACCATAAAGGCATATAGAACGAGTACACGGTATATTTCGCCCACGATGGGAATATGTCGGGTTTTTAGGTCAAACTAACCTAAGAGGCTGAACTAGATTTTTGACCTGCAAGGGTACGGGGAAGTAGGCAAATGCCCCATTTAATACACCTCGGTCAATAGCTTAGAGACAGATATAATGTCACATTATCGTAATGATATGAGTTAGAAATGAACAATGTTTTCTAATCCTGCGTTCTGGGTGCTTACGCTTATCAGATACTGTCATATTCTGTTTGATAAATATCGCGACTTTAGCGCACTAAAGATGAACTGAATCCTAGTCACGTGATCGGCTGTTGTGACGTCACGGGCGTTTACTTGCGTCGGCTTTTCAGGTAGATACTACATTCCAGGTAAACTAACACTTAGTGATTGGTCCAGATGTGAGTGAAAATTATTGGAAAACAATTTTTCCCCAGACTTCAGACGTGTTTCGTGTGGTGTTAAACACATGCAATGGCGAGCGACAGCGCGAGATGCACCCACGGACAGGTACGTGAGCCGGGCGGGCGACACCCCGACGATGTTCGTCCCAAACAGTTCAAGTGAAATAACTCACTGCTGAAAGAATAATAAATACGATCTCAAAACTTATCGTTTTACAAAAATACTGTTAATAGTTTTGAACAATTAGCCAGTGACAAAACACTAAACAGTGAAAATTCACGAAAATAACGATCTCTGAAATATATCCGAACTCAGTCATTGCTATGAATCGTTCTATAGAATGAGTTTTATTAATTGTTGAAAAGTCATTTTGTCAACGTTTCAAATATCACACAACTAAACATGAAATTAAAAGTTTCAATACAAAAGATGTTTGTTAAACTATCAGTAATTCTTGAAACAGTTCGTAAAAAAGTAATCTGTGGCTGTGTAATTTTAAAAAATATATTCGTTATTAGAAGGTGAGGTGAGGTGAGGTGAAATTGGGTTTAACGTCGTGCTTGAGAATATTTCGCCCATATGACGACGTGCAAGCGTGTGTATGTGTATGTGCGGCTGTTTGTACTAGCCCAGACTTAAGCTGGTTTTATAGTGCTAGCTCACTGAGATACCATGCCGCAGTGAAGCATGAATACCCCACTCAGACACAGTATACTGACTCCGAGCCGACCAGTCCTTGTTGTACCCATTAATGCCGAGCGTCAGGCAGGGACCAACAAGTACCATATTTTAACGTCTTTTGGTATGACGCGGTCGGGGATCGAACCCGCGGCCTTCCGCTCTCCGGGCGGACGCTCTAACCACTACACCACGGAGGCGGTCTCGTTATTAGAAAAAATTGCGAAAACTGTTGATTTTTGAAAAGGAAATTCTAAGGTAAATCATTATCGGATGTTTTTAAAACCCAAACTAACTTAAATATTATTATAATCTTAAAACAAATTATTAAGCACCAATACATTAATCTGAATTTTTAGATGTAATATGTCGAGCTTAAGATCTTTTCAACTGGAAAACACAGGGTAAAATCAATTATTTCGTAAACTTTTGCCCCACATCTGATATCATTCGACTTTAATTCTTCATAGTTTATAATGTATTATAGTGCACTTTTAATTTTTTAAACCATTATTTTTTTACGCAATATCTAGTTTGTTTATATAACTGTGTCTGAACAGTACTTTATTTATTTATTTATTTATTTATTTATTTATTTATTTATTTATTTATGGAAGGCGGGATGAAACACTTTGTTGATAATATTGTTAAACGATCCAGCGAAAATACTATTTTCTCCTTAAGACCCTTCCACCCTCAACGTCCCCAACGTCCCCTCCTTTCAAATAGTGTGGGGAAAATATTTCAAAATAACTAGTTTCTGAAACACGATATTGTTCGTTGTAGTGTGTCTCCAAGCGACATGAATTATTATTGTTTAATATTTTGATTGTTTACCAACTGCACACGTTAATGTCCTATTTCAGTAAATTTAACACGACGAAACGAAATATACATGGTTTAAACATTTCATTCTAGAAGAATTTGCAGAGGAAAGCGCTCACAAAATACTGACATAAAACATTTAAAAAACAAAACAATTAATGCAAAGGCGGTTACAGAAGGCAAATTGTCCAAATAACATATGTAGAATCATAATAAGACATCATTTTGATATAATTTATCTAAAACGATGCTTTCATTTTAAATTGCAAGAAAATATTGCCACCGCAACCCAGGCTAGCGACTCTGTGTGACTTGAGGACATCTATGCGATATTCAGTTTCACAACGAATGCATTGGCAAAATATGCCGATATAATCGTCTTTGTAGATAAAGACAAATAACATGATTCCTATATGTTATTGTAACAACAGTGAAATAAAACAAGTCAACTAGATGGATGTACAAACATTGACAAGTTATCTGGTTTATGTAACAACAGTACATATTATGTAAGGTGTGTATGTTGTATAACTGCCCACCTGGCTACATATATTTTCGTCGTCATCGAAACACGTTTGTGGATTGCAACAGAGATGGATTTCATTCGATGTTAAGGTATTTAAAATTATCAACATATTTTATTTTGCAAATGTTTTTGAAGAGATATGTAGGTCACGCAGGACGTAGGCCATTATACAACCGGTCGGTTGGAGTTATTCGTCAATGTTGTATTTTCGCTCTCGGTGTTTTTGTGTCAACGGTTCACGGATCACACAACTGATCTGTCTTCCATTGGCGTAGAAATACTATACGGTTAAAAACTACTGACATGTTGCTTTTGAGTTTGCAACCTGTATTTAGTTGACTTTCGTTTGATTTATGTACATATTTTCCTGCCATGTAATCACGTCCCTTGAACAGTTTCACAGACACAACACTTCACAGACGCAGCGCTTCTACTTGCTTTTAGTAGATATAAACAGAACATCAACAGTTATAACCTACATGCTTCGTGATCAAGGGAAATAATGGGTTCCAAATAATGAGATGTTGACCTTATGCTCTCGGGCATATGTAATTAAGACAGGTGGTTTATTCAGTAAAATTCCCGTGATACTGGCAATATTTCTTTGTATACTACCCATCAAAAGTTAAGACTCACTTAAAGCACTCACTATTTGTTATGTGTGTATATGTGGTTACGTCGAAGATGATTTTCTCCACTAATTGGGGGAACTAACTGCAAACCTTATGCAGATGAATTGCACGGGGATCATGAATTAAATTGCTGAAACACATGTGCACATATCGTGCATGTGAAAAGCTGCGTTTTGGTGTAAAGTTTTGTTAAGAATTCACCAATTTTCACTGAGTTTCATCATTTATTGAACTCATGACAATAATCTTTTCAACGTTACGCATTTGTTTTACAATGCATCAGTTCACGTGTAAACAGTACCCTTAAACTGTATTGAATATTTTGCAAAATCTGGTTTGGATTAGTAAACTAAAGTAAGTGGCTACATTTACACTAGTGAATCTAAACTTTTGATGGGTAGTATATATATTATGCATGCCAGTGAAGTAATCAATTACGTTTCGCTTAGCTACTGGACCTGACATAACTATACACAAGTGTTATAAGTGACATCAAAGTTTTCAGATGAAATAATTTGGTCAAAGACGTTAAGTCTGAGACGTGATATATTGTTTGAGATATGTACGCTCACATACAAGCAATACATGAAAATCACCTTCAACAAAAGATCTTCCTTTTTTAGGCAATATATACATAGACATTCAGTGTATTGAACATTTATGTATAACTCAAACCCAACAGCAAATTTAAACCTAGTCAAACAAACGACAAACCTAGTCAAGAAAAGAGTCCTGCGTATTTTAGATGTACAGGAACAGGGAGTGAAAGACGCTTTTCTACATTTAGGAGATGATTGGAAAAGGTCGTTAAACAACCTTTGTTTAAAAAGGTGAAAATTTTCTTCACATTGTTAACACCTTGTGTTACCTGTACATACCCAAATCTGTTTTAAAAACATTTTTCATATGAGTACATCAGGTGCAAGCTGAGTCGTTCAGTGATTTGAGCAATGAATAGTACTGGCGGGTCACTGATTATCCAGATGCAGTAGCCTGCATGTGATAGCCTTAGTGGTATAAACAGGATGGAGAGGGCTGTACCACACTCTCCCACAACCATAGCATTGTTGGTTGTGTTACACAATTTAAGAAACCAATAGCACATTCTATGCTGTACATCTTAAGTACTAAATGAAGTGCCCCATCCTCAAGTACCATAACAGACTATAGGCACAGTCATACCATACCATTAAATATCTTAAATAAATATTGAAAGGTATATTTCCAACCTTTTTGATACATGTACAATGCCATTATAGCCAGACAAAAAGCAAAAAAAATATCATATTTAGTCCAAACAATTTTAGACGTGAACACAATACCTATAGCTATAAAATGACAGTTTCAATAAATACACTATTAAATTTCCGTGTTATATATATGTCCACCATTTCTTAATAATATAACTTAGTTATCTTCAGATTTACCTCACCGCTTGTGGAATTGAATGATGTTGTAAAGCAGAAATCTTCTTCGGTATATTTAGAGGTGTATACTCAATAGATGCGTGTTATCTAGCATCATCAACAAGGATTAGCGCATACACTCCAGTACGGTCTTCAATAAGAAAGATGGGCTGTCCTTTATTGTTTGTTCATAAGATTTACAATAAGGATATAAAAAAACATCTGTGGGCTGACAATGCATCCTTGACGGGGGCTAATATTACAGGTAAAGTATTTAGACAACCTTGCGGGTGTTGCGATCCACATAGTAACCCATAGAATAGACACTCTCCACAGACAAACATGTACATACCAGCCAAACTCTGTGACAGTATATTCTAATCACCATTATCAAAGACTTGGAGGAAATCTACAAACACAATCGTCCTTTCTTTTCACAAGCATACTTTTGGATGATAGCCTAATAATAATTATCTGAGGTGGAATAATTGAGTCTGAATCCAGACTGAGATTCATCAATTATATAGATATCATCAAAACATCAAAATCAAGCATTAACAATCGACGTAAACAATGTGTTTTTTTGCATCAATGAAAGATATACGTCTATAATTGGGGACAGCAATCGTATCACCAGACTTAAACAGTGGACAAATGAAACCAAAATACCAATGTAGAGTCCGGTTTAAGGAAAAGGTCAATTGCTCGCTTGCTACACTAGATGTCATGAACGTAAGTGTTATGAAACAAAGTAAGTGATTAATGAACGAAATGTCAAGGTAGGTATGTGGAGGAAATTTCCAAATTTGAAACATCAGAGAAAAAATGATGGCTGAAGCAATGCCCTATTTGGACTAAGCTTATATGTTTGTTTTATATTTATGTTTTGGTTTTAGTTTAAGTGTACAAATGACATGCCTTAGCATGTGTTTATGACAGGCGCCACGGGACAGGGAACGGTCAATTGCTGTTGTTATTATTTGATAGTCATTCCAAAACATGTTTTTGACAATGTCGGATATCTCTGGTTTCTCATGATATGAACATATTTTAGGCCATATTATAAATATTCTTGTTTCTCATAACTTTTTGTAAAATACGAATGGGTAGGGCGGACGGATTTAATATTTTACATTTTATTTTATGTCCAAAACCCCATGATGTCTGTGGAAATTTAAACTTTTCTCCTATAGAAAATCAAAACTTAGAAGTGTAAACAATTCATGCACTTTTGAGAGTCAAAGTTCTCAGGGTAAAAAGTAAAAAGAATCTTAGGGTCGGGTTGAATTTTGGGGTCGGGCGGTAATGAGAAATATGAATATTTTTATATGTGGCCTTACCATCTGTATGTTTTTGAAAAAAGGACCGAAACATTGAGACAACATATACAACACTGCTTCATATGAATATGCAACAAAATTTACTTGATTTGTGTTTTAAACGCAAATTATTCACCATGAACAGGTGTGGAATGGAAAATGGTGCTAGCTATAGAGACTGTGAGCATCAGTCGGTATCTTCCCAAAAGACAGACCGCTTAAAACAACACATTTTATGGTTGGTTGCATAAGGCTTAATGAAGCTGTACCCTTGATAATAATGGCATGTGCCCCGATAAAAAAGACAACATTAGGTATTAACTATAGTTTTATCAATTCATGTAATTAATTATGATTTTTAAACTAAGACATATTGCATCAATAACTTCACTTTTTATTATACTGTCCAGCACTAAATGCCCTCAGAAATCAATTTCATTCCCAATATTTCTGTAAACATCGTACTATTGAAAAAATTGTTTATCTAATGAAATGTGATTATTCACCACTTAACTCTAAAGTATAAGTATCAATATGCTGTATGTTCTGTGTCACTGTAAGTGTTTTATTAGAATAATATTTCGGTTCTATTCTGTTCTGTTCAGTAAAAGGATTAGTAATATGTTTTGAGAAGAGCACAGGAGATAGGAGTGTGCTGTTACTATACTCTGTAGTGACTCTGGGTCAGCTCATTAATTAAATAGGGGTGGAAAGCATGCCTCAGCTAATTAGTGTACTCCCTGAGTCTGTCTTATGGGAGTGAACCCATTAGTCACCTGGGGAAAAGTGTTATCGATGATGTAATATGTTCAATTGTTATATTTATAATATGTGGTTACAACATTAAAGGACTTAGTAAATCTTTCAAAACGTTGTACGGTAGACCTGACGAGGACATTTTAGAATTTGTAACATCATGATGTCCGATGCATTCCATATGTTCCCATGTGTTTTTCAGTGGTACATCAATTTATGACAGGTAATATTGGTGGGGTAGGATACGCTCGCCTCTGTACCTGGTATCAACAATATTCGATAATGATTCATAAACACATACATCTGCTTTTGGCAGAGGTTTCTTGTGGATGTGGAAAAGATTTTGTCATTTCTATTTTGATATTGTATCCAGAGCGAACTGGGATCACCACTCGCTAGAGTAACGCTTAGTCTCTGGATATATATGTCAAACACTAGATTTTCTGGTCCAGACTCGATTATTTAAAACCCGCCGCTAAGTGCCTTACAGAGATTGCCGAGTGCAGCTTTAAAAAAAAACGGAAAAATAACCCAAATGTATTTATGAATCTGATGCTGCTAATAATTGTGGATATTATTAAAATGTTGACTTATAACTGCGAAATGTCAAATGATACAAAGTTCCTGCTGTCCTGGTCTTCAGTTGCATCCTGATTTAACCCATCTCTTTCTTATGATATTTTCTGGGCGGTTGGGTAGACTGCACTAGGACAAACAGTCGTAGCACACACGCATGCTTGTTGCTAAATGTAAGTGAAATAATCTTGTAATGTTGTGAAGGAACGGTGGGGTAGCCTAGTGGTTAAAGCGTTCGCTCGTCACGCTGAAGACCCGGGTTCGATTACCCACATGGGTACAATGTGTGAAGCTCATTTCTGGTGTCCCCCGCCGTGATATTTCTGGAATATTGCTAAATGCGGCATACAACTAAACTCACTCACTCACTCACTAATTTTAGAAATCTATTTATGGGTCA